CCAGCAGCGCGATGAGCCCGCGCAGGGCGGCGGCGGGCGCGGCGCTCAGCGCGGCCGGGCTGCAGCCCTCCAGCGCCCGCCGCAGCTGCTCCACCGCCTGGGCGCGCCGCCGGTAGTCCCGGGGGTCCAGCAGCCGCGCGCGGAGCTCGGCGGGCACCAGCGGCAGCTCCGCACGGCCGGGCGGGGGCGAGTCATCCCCGTCCTGCGGCGGGTCGAGCGGCTCCGAGCCCGGCTCGCCCTGCGCGGGGCCGGGGGGCTCCGCGTGCCCCGAGCCCTCCCGCGGGCCGGGGGGCTCCGTGTCCTTCGCGGCCCCCCGCGGGTGGAGCGGCACCGTGCCGGGGCCCTCCCGAGCGGGGCCGGGGGGCTCCGTGTGCCCCGAGCCCTCCCGCGGGTCGGGGGGCTCCGCACTCTCCTCAGAGGGGCCGGGGGGCTCCGTGCGCGGAGCCTCCTCAGCGGGGGCGCCGCGCTCCCAGGCGCTCCCGCCCCGCGGTCCGTGTGCGCTGGATGCCGGTGCCGGCCCGTGTCCCGGCCCGTGCCCGCCGGGCTCGCCCATGTCCCCGGCCCGCGGCCATGGGGCCCCTCAGGCCCCGCCCGGCAACGCCGCCGTCGCCAGGGGGCGCCGCGCACCGCGCCGACGCGGAGCGCACCACGCCGGGGCCACCCGGGGGGGGACACGCACGTATCTCCACGCCGGCTCCTCACGTCGCGGAGGGTGAAACGGGGAGCGACTGCACCGGCGATGGAGCACAAAGCTGTTCTAAGGGAGCGTCGGGGATAGGGCACCGCTAGGGAGCGGTGGGGAAGCGAACCAGTAATGCATTCCCCCCGCGCGCCTTGCAGATGGCCCCGGCCGGGAAGGGGCAGGGGTGGGTGTGAGCGGCGTCCCGTGCGCTGATTGGCGGGAAGGGCCGGGCGGAAGTGACGTCGCAGGCGGTGAGGAGCGGAGCGAGCGGCGCTGCGGCCGGGCCGGGCCGGCACCGGGACAGGTGGGACCGGGATAGAGCACCGGGAGAAATCACCGGGATAGAGCACCGGGAGAGCCGCGGTACAGCGGGCAGCGCCGCCTCCTGGCGCGGGGTGCAGCGGGAGCGGGCTCGGGTGCTCGAGGGACCCGCCCTGGGGAGACCCCCGTGCGAGCCGGCAGCGGCGGAGCCCGGCGATCCCGGAAGGGTTTGGGTTGGAAGGGACATAAATCCCGTCCCGTTCCACCCCCTGCCGTGTTCGGGGACACCTGCCACAGGTTGCTCCTGGTCCAGCCTGGCGCTACCGGGGATAAGGGGCGGGGATGAGGACACAAGAGCCGGTGGTGTTTTCATGGGATCCCGGAATGGTTCGGGTTGGAAGGGGCTTGGATCCCGTCCCGTTCCACCCGCTGCACGGGCGACACCTTCCACAGGTGCTCCCAGCCCCGTCCTCCCTGCGGGGACTGTCCCAGCCCTGCTCCCTCAGCCCCAGCACAGGCTGGGTTGGATTTGGGTACCGGCGCTGAGCACGAACACACGGAGAGCGTCAATTCCGTCAGCAGGGCGCTCTCTGTTTGTATTTCTTTTTTCTTGCCCTTTTTGTGTGCGGGGTGTTGGACCCGAACCGAGCCCGGCTGTCAGGGTGTGGTTGGGTTTTGTGCTGTCTCGGGACTCCCAGAACCAGCCCAGTGGCTTTGCTGCCCCGCGAATTCCGGGCTCTAAATCGGGGCTTGGCAGGCACTGACATTCCCCCTCGGGGCACAGAAGTGCCCGGAGCTCTCGCTGCTGCTTCCTGCTCTGCACACACGCTGCGTTTTGGCAGAGTCAGATCCCTCAGTGAGCCAGCTCTACCGGGTAACCTCCTTATTTCCAATAATTTGCTGTTCAGGATGAGTTTTAAGCCCAGCTTGGGAGAATCTGGCAGCCCAGAGCCCCGGGGTGACCACTGATGTGAGCTGGGAGCACAAACCCCTGTTCTGAGATACAGTCCAGGGCTGGGTCGTGTTCCAGCTGCTGGTTCTTGCTGAGCAGTGGAATAAATACCAGCAAACTGTGGTGCAGGTGTGCAGGGGGTGTGACAGGTTCTACCAGGGTGCTACAAAAACTTCTATTGCTGTAGAGAGACTTAAATATAGTTATTTATAATTATATAGTTATAAAGCTGAGCTGTGACCATTCCTTTTCCCTGCCACGTGTCTGTGTTTGTGCAATCAAGTTTTGACCAGAGCACAGGCACAAAGGGGAAATACAGTGTTTTAGCTGATGAACGGCTTTTTTTTTTTTAATTTATTTTTTTAAATTCTTCCAATTTGTGCTGCAAAACTCTGATAGGGAAAACACTGTATATTATCATGCCTTTTACAGGTGTGCTTAAAATACTTCCTTTCAGTTATTTTTTTTCTACTGTAGAACTATAATAGGAGAGCTTCTGTATCTTTCCATGGGTAGGAGGTTTCCCTCCCTACCTGTGATCCTTCTTATCCCTGTCAGTGCTTTATACTCTGCATTTAAACCTTGGCAACCCCTTTTGTTCTTTCAGATGAAGCACTTCTAAGTGGGCTCCCTGCAAGGGAGGTGTCAGTTAAGGAGCTCTAAAAATGATGAACTTATTGTTGAGAGAGGAGTGAGAGCTGGGAGATCATTTATCAAATTGCCATGAAATCAGGTGCTCAGTGAGGGCTGGGGGGGAACAGTGGGGCTGTTTCTCGTGGTCCAGGAGCTGACACATCCCCCCCTCCACCTCTGTGCAGGGATGGGGCTGAACAAAGTGGTGGGCAGCACCTTGGAATTGTAATGCTGCTGCAGTTAGAGCAGGTATCCAAGTGCTTCCAGTGGAACCTTTGGGAGGGAGGGTTTTGTGGAGCTGTGGGGAGGAGCAGGACCCTTCCCTCTGCACCCCCTGTGATGGTGGCAGTGTGGGTGGCTCTCAGGGCTGGGAGGGGGTGAAGTGCTGGTAACTCCAGGGTGTCCACCTGGGTCCTGCTCCCTCAGAAGCTCTGGGAAGCTCCTCAGCAGCTCCCACCATTGTCTCCTGATGGAGGAGGCAGGCCCAGCTCCCAGTGTTCCCCAGCTCCCAGTGTTCCCCAGCTCCCAGTGTTCCCCAGCTC